GGAGGGATTTTCCAAAAAACAAATCATTCAAAATGGATTCTACACATACCTGACCAATTCTTGTTAAATGCAGGCCTGGATTTAACTTAGATTGGTTCTCGACACGCCATAGCTCGTCGCAATGCAACCAACATATTGTATTGTAAGACATGCATAGAATGTACTTCACAGGCACCCAGAAAATGTGAGGTCAATAAGCACACAATTCAAGCTTACTTATACAACTGATTTAACACCCTTATTGCGAGCCATAAATTAGCGTACTAAAATAATCTGTCAGCCAAGGATAGTCATGGCTTTCCCAAGTGGCAAATATAAAGCTGAGGGTTAACTAAGCGTCTTTGGCACGAAAATATAAATAAACTGAAATAAGCCCGACTCCAAACTACATTGAACAAAGCTGTCAGAGGCGAAACGATATGATATTAATGCAAACTGGGAGGTTCATTATTGCTCTGTTTGGCCCTCAGTTGACCCGCTGAGGCTTTGCTGGAGTTATACCAACTTCAAGCAGGACGGAACCGGTATGCTCCCTTCTTTTACAATCTATGAGTAGATCCTAAAAATTCAGCCTGCTACAGACTGAAGAAAAAAGAACTATTGACAATGATGTATTGGTAGGTCTGTGAACAAGTGAAGTAGTATGTCGATAAAAGTCATCCTCGGTAAAGCAAAGCGCATATTTAAGAAAGGCATGTCTTGGGCGTTCGATCCTCTCCAAGCATTGGACGGCCGAACCGCATGCCGTGACCAAAACGTACAGGCCTTCGTACATCCACTCCCGAATTTTTGTCACAGGGCTTGATTTTCGTTTAGCAACCACGGAGATCTTGAACACCATTTTAAACAAGATCAGATGTGTAGTCGAAGCAAATACATTCCTTAGCTTTATGCGAAGAGAACTTCAAGCAAAAACCCCAGGATTGTTCCTAATAATTTATGGCAGAAAAAGAGGTGACCTCAGAGTGTTTTACAACATGAGGTTTGTCAAGTCACGCCAATATGAGTACCCTAACAGTACATCACCAGCATTCACTTTTCGGTATCCTCGCCAAAATCTCACACCAAACATCAAACAACACCAACCATTTCTCATCGAGAATTATCTAAATTTGAAATGCTCTCCTAGACGGGGTGACCACAGTCGCCTCATTGGATAAATGCAAGAGGAGAATGGGCGAATACGTACTCACTAACAAAAAATCATCAACTGCCTGAACCAGCTGCACCCAATGCATGTTGTGAAAGTCCTTTTTTGATATCGTTATCTCATATCACTAGTTTATTCTGTGTCGCCTTCTATCATCTTCGTTTCGCCTTTATGTTCTTAACCTTTGATCTTCTCATGCTGTCTACACTAAAATTTGATCAATTTATTTATATAATGATATAGTTCCTAAAGAAACATCTTCTGTTATCATAGTAACCCATTACTTGCAATTTTTCTAATTGCACTAATCGGATTCTCCTTCTGGCTATACGATATTGCCTGGTAACCGGTTAGTAAAACCATACAATAAAAAGTTCTTTTGGTCTTCGACATTTCTGCTGATCTAATTTACTTTACTGGATAAATTCCAGATGAATTTGTTCGGTCACAAATTCAAACAGATCACAGTGAGGTATGCTGTGCAACGCAGCTCCACAGATCAACTAGCAAGTTGAGTTCACGCCTCAACATTCCAAATATCATTTATATGTACCTTTAATCAGGCTCATTCTCAATTTCTAGTTTGCCTTGGCGTTTGGTATAATCAGTAATATGGATGAAAGTGTCTCCCGGCTGTGAATAAATTCGATATTCTCAGACCCTAGCACCCAGAGAGAAATGCACTTAATCGAATAACAGGACAAACGAATAGTCAAATAACTGCAAACTTACTAGAATTTATGCACTTGAAAAAACATGTTACTACTAATTGTATATTATCAAATAACTGGACTGATATTGAAACAACAAAAAGCGAGAGCGAAGAAATCAATCGGCTTATACTAGCTCGCGTAAAAGATATTGGAAGACAGCGCTGAACACAAACTCTGACCTTGTAATGTTTGGATTCTCAACTACAGTAAGTGATTTATGCCGAATGGCAATTTGACACAAGTATTCATGTCCTCGGAATTTCATAGCATCCAAAGTAGATTTGCAGATAAATCTCTCACAATTCATTAATGATTGTTTCATGCATTTACTATTTCAAACACCTCCGAAACTACTCTGTAACTCGATCCAGCACCTACATTCAAGTCGCATCACATATATACCACACATCTTTTCATTTGGATTCCGCTAAATTGAATAATTTTTACGAATCATCGTGTTAAAAATATTTTACCACTGAATTTTCACGTTGGGTATTGTAACCAGATATTCTAAGAAAATCGGAGTATCCCATCTGCCGATGACCATAAGCTCACAGTGCATCTGAAAACTAAATGTTTAATTACATTGATCTATTATATTCCAGTAAATTTTACTCATTCACATTCAGTTTTGTGGACCATATGCTTCACTTATTTTGACCAACAAATCTGGATGAAAAACTGCTCTCATATTCTTTAATTACCAGCTGGTAACAAGCACAGGCTTTTATTGTCCTTAAAACAAGTGGTTTTTATATTTAGTTGCAGCATTACCAAATTAGCTGGTGGAATTGACTTCAATAGCCGAAGTTAGTCAGTGTGAAGCACACTCATGTACTATGTAAATCTGTGCTCACATAGTATGTTACACATTGATCGATTTTAAACAGTACTCTTTTTCATTTATATAAATCTGGATATCAAATTAGCTGTATATCAATTAAACGAAGTGATGTGTTCATGTATCGTTTGGATTCGAGTCAAATAAATCCTTACTTAACGTTTTCCTGTTCTGACTCCCATCGTCCAAACTATGCTTTCTGGGTAGCAAGTTCCAATTCAATTAAATATTCAACTAGCATGATACAAACCAGAATACAGATTTGAGTAAAACCGTTAGTTATAAAATGATTACATAAGTTAATATTTTAGATACGTACATGTAATCAGTCTTCAGTAATAAGTTAGTAGGTCAGTGAGCCTTTTCATATCCTTGAAGCTTCTTTTCCAGTTGAATTTCAGCTTCTTGAAAATGTTCACTGGTGGGGCTGGTACTCTCTGTTCCAGTAAGGCATTTTAAATGCTTATCGTGGGGCAGTTTAGGAAGACCCGTCACACACCGTGGATGGGCTGGAGTATGATATCATCCTCTATCGAACATGAACCAGCTGCTTGGACGCAATACCCTTTGTGAGATCCTACATAGATAGGATGAGCAGCGATGTTATAGGCTCAAATTTGGCATCGAATCTACCGATCATCAATTTTATTTCCGTTAAATGTACGTAGTAACATATTAGGTCATTTGGTCTATTCTCTGAATACCGACTTAAGTCTCGCTATATAATTTGGCATCTAAATGAAAATTTCACCAACATCTGACCATCTCGGCCTTCACTAAATTTTGTACAAATTTGAGCTTGTTTTAACCTAAATGGGAGATTTAGAAATGCTGCTTTTTTTTCGCGTCGCTAAAAGTTTTTCAAGTGCTCAATCTTCTGAATATTGCTGAAATATGTATTTCTGATAAAAATTTTGTGTTCTGGTTTGTTCAGTAGAACAGGTAGGTTTGATCAACGTGACCAAGTAGATACCAGAGATAAATTTTACATCACCTACCGATGTATAATTAACTATAATATATGAAGCTGATGCTTCTCACTTGCGGCCCATAACATTCTCTGCGTACACGTACATTAACTTAATGTTGAGATGTGACTCTGTCATTTTAATTTAGTAGAAATTGTCATTCTTCTTAAGAAGAATTAGTTTTTTGAAGACCTAATTCGGAGCTGTCGATTACTTATCATCATTTTTGGTTCGTCTTGGTTACTGCTTACGGAAATATTTATCGCTTATCATTTTAAACGCTTGTCTTTGCTTTTTAGTTAGACGGTCTACATGAGACTAGGTTGAGTACTAGTAATGTATGTGTTTTATGTTCTATGGTTAGATTACGTCGCCTTTACTAATGGATAGTTAAATTGTTAAATCATATGCTTCATTTGTATCGAAATGTTTAAAATATTGATTTTTACTCAACACACTAGGAATATATTAGAACTGTTCCAGAGGTTGTCTGATTGTAGAGAGAAAGTGTATGTCGGATTGTTCTCTCTTAAATAATGGTTTTTAATGTTGGTATCATATTTATTCCTCCTCTGTAGGATTGATCCTTTGTGAAAGCATCATCAAAGAGTTCACAACTGGTCAACACATCTACGTCTGAAGACACATTCTGTTTAATTGTGTTAGTGGGATCCTTTACTGAAGCACTGGATACCTCCAAATCTCTCTGATACTTTTGAGGTGAGGTTGAAAGTTCACAGATCAAAAATTCATGAGCATTATATATGCTGTATGACGCGTTTATTTTCAAACATTGAAAATCGTCTTTTAGTAATCACTTGGAAATGTCATTCAAATTAGCTTTATTTGGCCAGAATTTCAGAAACATGTCACTGTCAATATCTTCTAGATCATACACTGAAACTTGATGCCACTTAATTAGTGAAGGTTCGATTTATTATGCACTCAGTTAAATGTATGTTGAGCTAGCGAAATTGTCAGCTTCAAATGCAAAACCACCAAATACGAGATTACCAGTAGATTTTTAAAGGGTGGATGTTCTAAGTGGTGTAAAGCGCATTTTGTAATGAAGGATGCAATATAACTCAGTCAGCCAAGAACATTGTAGAACTTGGTACGTATGTACATTAGTTCAAGTTGCTGTACCACATTAACAGAGATAGAATTGTCAATTCAGACCTTATAGTGGTAGAAGTTGTAGCAGTATTAGCGGTAATGAATAAGATAAGGGATTGAAGATATGATTTGAGAAGTATAATCAAGTGAAATAAATTCAAAAAGAGCAACATGGTTAAGAGAAATTCAGAAGATTAAAATTTGAGAGAAGACAAAGAATAGATGCAACTCCGCCATCGCAAACGATTTTCATCCATGTCATTCAAGTTCTCTAACCATCGGTAACTATCGTCTCGCAGACACCAACCAGGTAGTCTACACCTGCCAACATGACTCAGTCCACTTGTCAGTGACTTCATGGATTTCTGCCATGTTTTGGTTTGGCCACCAATAACTTTCTTCCAACCTACTTCTACACCACAAAACATAGCTAGTTGAGACAGTCGGTGGTTAGGCATACGTAACACATGTCCCAACTACCTCAACAGATGGAGTTTTACTACTTCATCAATTGACCTGCCATTCCTACCTAATACTCGTTTCCTAACTATAGCATTGACTACTCGGTTGTCCCACGATATACGTGCAATGCTCTGAAGATACCTGTGATAGACTATTAGTAGCGTACGAATATCCTCTATTCTTACTATGTTTCTTACCCTTATATTAATGTGAAATAACTAATATATTCAGTACGAGTATTTCTGCTCACAAACGTGCGTTATGTTTCCTAGATATAACTACAAAATTTATTGAGCTATTTTATCTTATCACCATCTTATTAGTGTGGTGTCTTGCTAATATTCTTTCCAGGTTATTTAAAAACCTAATGGTTTCTCTGTCTATTTTTATGATGTAATTGTAGCACTCAACTATCATTCAGGTTATTCGTCTCAAATCTTGCGAAGAGTTTTGTGTATTCCCAGAAAAGCGAAAACGGTGTTTATTTTTATTAGAAGCACTGTTTCGACTGACGAAAATCAACATTATTATAACTCACACACACACCTATGTTATTGATTTTTGCCCACTGTTATCATTTTGAATTTTATGTAGGTGTTAATATTAACTTCTAACCACAGTTTTGATCTATCCTACTGATTATTTTGTTTTATACATAACAATGCTATTTATGTCGACTGGTCTCAATCACTGATTTTCCCAATCTATAAGAAAGGACAAAAGTCTTCTTGTGACAATCAAAGGGGAATAAGTCTAACTAATATAGCATCTAAAATATTGGCCTCAATAATACTTCGACGCTTAACGAAAGCTCGCGAAGAGCAGACTCGAGAAAACCAGTCTGGTTTTCGACCTGGACGTGGTTGTATAGACCACATCTTCACACCACGACAGGCCCTGGAACACAGACACACATTTAGGCGTCCTACAATAGTTGTTTTCCTAGACCTTAAGGCAGCATTTGACTCTGTTGATCGTAAGGTTCTGTGGCAGTGTCTGTCATTGAAAGGTGTACCAAAGAAGTACATTAACCTTATACAAGCCCTTTACTCGAACACCACTGGTCGAGTGAGGGCTTATGGCGAACTGTCAACGGAATTTTTTACTTCAAGTGGTGTCCGTCAGGGATGTCCACTCTCTCCATTCTTGTTTAATTTTACCATAGACATGCTCCTAGACATAACATTATCCTCGTCTGAATTTTCAGGAGTAGACCTTCTACCAGGTGGCTCGCTTACTTGGTGAAGACGCTGACAAAATGCAGTCTTCTGACCACCCTAAGCAACAATGCAAGCATGTTCGCGATGCGGTTTTCCCCCTTGAAATGCAAAATGTTGCTTCAAGATTGGGTTTCATCGGCACCTGAACTAGTGATAGGGAGTGAAGTGGTCGAACGTGTAGACCGTTTCACTTATCTTGGGAGTCTCGTCGAAGCTGATGGCCTGGTGACTGACGAAATCTCAGCTCGGACAAGTGGACTGAGTCATGTCGGTAGGTGTCGACTACCTGGTTGGGGTCCGCGAGATGATAATAATCGATGGTTAGATACCCTGAATGACATGGCTTAAAACCGTTTGCAATGGCGCTGGTGCATTTATTCTTTGTGTTCTCTCAAATCCTAATATTCTGGATTCTTCAATCCCTTTTAGTTTTGACTTTCTAAACTTTTCTCACTGAATCATATTTCTTGAATATCTTCTAATCCTAACCTCTCCGATTACTTCTAATACCTTTACTACCTCTTCAACTATTGGATTTGAATTGTCAATTATATCTCTGTACTGATGTGGTATGGCAACATGAACTGATGTACTTACGTACAAAGTTCTACGTTGCATCTGACTGACTGATGCTATTTATTTACTCGTCTTTGTTTGTTGTTCTCAATTTCTGGTATTTATTTCAATCGCTTATGGGTGTTATGTCGTTTGTCTTGGTGGGGCTGATCTATCTAGTTTGTGTAAATTCCACTTTGTAATGCAACAATCTCCCAATCGTTCGCATATTAAAAATAGAGTAATTCTCAAATCACTGTCAGTCAGTCAGTCAGTTGCAACGTAGAACCTCGTATGTAAGTACATCAGTTCATGTCGCCATACCACATCAGCACAAAGATGCAATTGTCAATTCAAATCCAATGGTAGTAGAGGTAGTAAGGGAATTAGAAGTAATAGGAGAGGTTAGGGTTAGAAGATACTATTCAAGAAGTATGATTCAGTGAGAAGTTTAGAGGGTTGAAACTAGAAGTGTTGAAGAATCCAGGAGATTAGGATTTGAGAGAACACAGAGAATAAATGCACCGGCGCCATTGCGAACGATTTTGAGCCATGTCATTCAAGGTCTCTAACCATCGATTATTATCATCTCGCGGACCCCAACCAGGTAGTCGACAATTACCGACATCACTGGTGATGATTATAATATACAATTTAGATTATATTATATTATTACAAACTCTCAATCAGCATCTCATTACTAAGATGAACTGTAATATTGAATCAAAATATATAATAAACTTAACTACCTCTATTATCAAACTAACAGTGGTACAATGAAATCTTTATTTGATTGGAGGGAATCTCGTAGTTTATTGTTAAACTATAAACCATGTTGTATGAGTTATAAGGATTTCATTTCGATTGTAATTATAGCTTAAGGCATTTGATTAATGGTTAGAGACCTTGAACGACATGACTCAGAATCGTTTGCAATGGCACAGGTGCATCCACTCTTTGTGTGTTTTTTAATTCTAACTTTTTGAATTCCTCATAATCTCTATCTTTCTCCCTCGAATCATATCTTTACTCCCTAATCTTCTCCATTACTGCTAATAATTCTACTATCGCTATCAGTCTTGGATTTGAACTGACAGTTACGTCTCTGTGCTGACATGGTATGGCAACCTGAACTGATGTAATTAATGTACGAAATTCTGCGTTGTATCTGTCTATCTTAAGGCATTTGATGATAATGAATTAGGTTAATCTTTAAAGACGATCTATTGTCATGTTTAGTAAGATGAAAAGCTAAAATATTTTTGTCTGATAAATGCATTTTGAAATAAAAGAAAAAAACGAATAACTACATTTTCTTTTTTGCATAACTGCTTTACTGATATGTTGGGGTAGAGTTTTGGAGGTTTGTGTTTTTACACATTTGAAATCATCAATCGATCAATGTTAGACCACCATTAGAAACCTGGAAGCACTGGACGGCCGTTTCGTCCTGGTATGGGACTGCTCATCAGCAGTGCGCATCCACGACTCCTGCTCCTCGCAGGATTCGAACCCAGGACCTTCGGTATTATGCGCGAACGCCTAACCATCGGACCACTGGGCCGGCATCCATCGGTGTTAATTAATGTCTAACTCTGATTGATCTACGGATGTTTGCTTGACCTCACCCATTTGTCTTTGGCAGTTACTGCCTACACCCGACAGGGTCGAACTCCATTAGCCACGTCTTCTCAACTAGAACTCCGAGAATTCCCTCACGAAGCTAGTCACTAGTGAGCACTGTTACGATATTTTGGGGCAGACTTTTGGAGGTTTTGTGTTTTTACATCATCAATCAATCATTGTTAGATATGTGTTAATTTATGAACAGAGTAGAGGTTAAATAATAATAATTGCTTCGAAGTTTTAATGAAGTAAAATCTAATCATCCCTATAATTTTATTATGTTCAGTGTAGTGTTTGGTTTTTGTTGGTTGTTCCTGTGATAAACTCTCCTCTAAACTTTAGAAAAAATAAAGTTTTGATTTTATTTATGTGTTATTTGTCATTCCTTATCGATGGTTAGTGTTATAGGGTTTATAAATAAGTTGAAAGAAAGCTAGGAAGCCCCATATTAAAATGTGCTATCACTCTATAAAGTCACTGAATGCTGAGCCGAGCCATGTGGGTAGGTGTAGATAACTTGTTTGATATCTATCTACACAATAATCGTGATCAGTAGTTGGAGATGTTGGTGTTATAATTGTCGGACATCAGTTCACTCGAGACGTTCTCCAAAATCAGAACACGGTTGAATAGGAAACAAATTATATTCCAATAACATGGTTAGGTGGAAGACAAGAAGTTGAAAACGTTAGTATATTTGTAGTTTTTTACATGAGAAGATTCTAGAATGTTCCCCCCAGTATTGACTTGCGTTGATTGGATACGAAAGAGCCAATCAGCGTGCGACGACGCAATCGTGTATTGAACATGCTTTAATCTATGTCCCGCTAACAGTTGGATAAAGTGACTCAGAATCAACCACGTTGATATAGATGAGGTTGTTTCATTTTATCTTTTCTGATTACTATTGCTACCATATCATTTCAGTCCCTTTACTATTTATCTCATCTTGTCGTGCCAATGTGGTATGGCGACTTGGATCAATGTACATTTGTCACAGACTCTCCGTTGATTATGATTGACTCCCTATCAAAGCAGCCTTGTATAGAGTTATTGTCTGTTAGAGACTAATCTGCCTTTGAAATGCACGGTCTTCATTCCTGCAGATAATTGTGTCCTAAAATTCCAACTGACAATTTCGCTACTTCATAATAAACTCGGTATTTGTATATTCAGTGTTGAAATATCCTAGACATGAAGCTTTCGGTCCGATAAACATAGTACGAACATAATTTGGATATTATGCTCTTTTTTTCAATTTCATCTTTTAAATTTTCCCGCCCCATTAATAACTTTAACGATACATGAGCATTGATCGCACCCTGAATTTAGTAGTATCGCGTTAACTGACATTTCTTCAGTAGTCTTTATGTTTGAAGAAATCAAAAAACAGTGATCTTCAAACTATCCTTATGTTAGTTTGCGGTAAGACGGTTGGGATTTTCAAACCAGTACGTTTGTAAATATAAAGTACTGAGTTGCATCGGTACCTGAACTAGTGATAGGGAGAGAAGTAGTCGAGCGTGTAGACCGCTTCACTTATCTTGGGAGTCTCGTCGAAGCCGATGGCCTTGTGACTGACGAGATCTCAGCACGGATACAGAAAGCTCGATTGGCTTTTGTCAACTTGCGTCACCTATGGCGCAGGCGAGATAGCCGTTTGCTGACCAAAGGACGAGTGTGCTGTGCAGTAGTTCGCTCCGTTCTACTATATGGTTGCGAAACATGGCTGGTGAGAGTAGAGGACATTCGTAGGTCGCTTGTATTCGATCATAGATGTCTTAGAAGCATTGCTCTTGTATCGTGAGACAACCGAGTAGTCAATGCTGTCGTTAAGAAACAAGTACTAGGTAGGGATGGCAGATCAGTTGATGAAGTGCTGAAACTCCATCTGTTGAGGTGGTTGGGACATATGTTACGTATGCCTAACCACCGACTGCCTCAACTAGCTATGTTTTGTGGTGTAGGAGTAGGTGTGAAGAAAGCTAGGGGAGGCCAAACCAAAAAAATGGCAAAAATCCATGGAGTCACTGACAAGTGGACTGAGTCATGTTGGTAGATGTATACTACCTGGTTGAGGTCTGCGAGATGATAGTTACCGATGGTTAGAGAACTTGAATGACATGGATCAAAATCGTTTTCAATGGCGGAGGTGCATCCATTCTTTGTCTTCTCTCAAATTGTAATCTGAATTCCCTATTATCTCTATCTTTCTAAAGATATCTCACTATATTATGTTTCTCGATTTATATCTTCGAACTCTAATCTTCACCATTAGTGCTAATACTTCTACTGTCTCTACCACTATTGAATTGAACTGACAGCTGCGTCTCCGCGCTGGTGCGTTGTAGCAATCTGAACTAATGTACGTACGTACGAAGTTCTACATTGTAACCGACTGATAAAGTACTGTAAATACATGTCATGCATATTCAGTTATTTTCTCATCAATGCATGTTAGCGGAATGTAAGTAATTTTGAAAAGATTTTCTTAAGAGTAAAGACAAAACAAGACATTTAAAAAGTTTAGTATTTATCAGAGCATTTTGAATAGTATGACTAGGTATATCAGGTATTTTGTTTACTAAGAACTGGATTAGCATTTATTGTTGCTTACATTAATAGTACTTCAAGTAAGTGCTGCTTGGGGAAATTTTTTATGCTACGGAGATTCTCTATGCTCATCGCAGTACATCCTTTTGATTATTTTAGTTAAGTTTTTTTTCTTATGAACTTAATGATTCGTTTTACTGTCAAATTTAGTACTTGAACACATTCTTCCCAACTATGGGCCGCAAATATCCTTCCGAAACACCTCGTAGTGCTATGCGTGGGCAGTGTGATGGATCTAGTGTTTTGAAACAACGCACACATAAATCAAGTTCGTTAGAATGCAGTGCAGATTGGTTTAAACAGGAAATCAAATGTCAAATGGAACGAGGAGGTTTATTTGAAGATCCATTTATGCCTACTACTGATGCGACTATCAAACCAGGATCTAGATCAGGTGGACAAAGTTACAGATGGCTACGACCTATTGTAAGTTATATTTATGCATTTTAATTTTATAATTGTGTTTTATAGTAAGCCTTGTTTTTCATATATTAAAAGGTTGATTGTAATAATAGTTTGAATGGGTAATCAGACAAAACAAATGAAGTATTATTTTCATGAATTGTTATGCTAAAGTTCGGAAATGTGTTCTGGGACGTAATGACGTCAATCGTAATAGTTTTATCACCTTGAAACATCGTTTTTAGTGCTTTTCATTTATACTACGAATGTATTTCCAGCGATTTCTTTATTGTGTATTAATTAATTACACTGGGACATTGTGGAATAAGTCTACAAGTGGTTTGATATTTACATGATACTGTTGTACCGAAAACGCCGCCTGGAACTCCTCTAGTGTTCTTGCTGGTCCCAATTCCTGATAAAAGAGGAGGGTTGGGTGTGGGGTGAGCGTCCCCATTCCTTAGAAAACTAACTCTAAAAAAACGCTAACCAGTAAAAGTAATTCAAATCATTTAGAAGAATTATGACGTCTCATGATGGAAACCGAGTTTCTCTGGAAGTTACGAGGTCGATGCCTCTTACTGACAACCAGAGCAACAATTAATGTAGGTACAAGGAATATTCGCACAATGTGGGAAACTGGAAGAACTATTCGATTTGTTGAGGAAATGAAAAGATACAACCTGGTGAAGCATGGAGTAAGTGAAACACATTGGACGCAGTCTAGATAGAGAGAGAGATGCTGTTACAATTCCGCAATGAAGAAGAAAATGCCCACCACACACACACACACAAAGAATTGCGCTAGTGATATCCGAAGAAGCTCTTATACGATAGGAATCTCATGAACCCAGGGTCATCAAAACATCTTTCAAAACAAAGAAAGAGGGGATTGCAATCAATGTCATTCAGTGCTATACATCTACCATTGATAACAATGAAGACGATAAAAATCAATCATCAAGAAATGCCGAGAGAATGATTTGACCATTTTGATGGTAGACCTTAATGCCAGGGTTGAAATGAACGACGGATACGAAGACATCATGGGACGACATCGACTGAAAAATGAAAACAGTGGGAGATTCGCAAGTCTATGTGCCTTCAACAAGATGGTGATAGGCGGAACCATATTCCTACATAAATACATACAATAATAATTTCCAAGCTTTCCTCAATCTACTCAATGACGAGGAAACTACCATGGAGAGCAACTGGAGAGAAATCAATGAAGCAATAACTACAGGATTTCATTAGTTTTTAGGCCATAATAAGCATTATCACAAGGAATGGATCTCTGTTGATGCTCTGGATAAGATTCAAAAAAGAAAGAACAAGAAGGCAGACACAGCATCAACTGTGAAGATGTTCAACCATTTGTTTAGCAAGATTTGAAAGGAAGAACAAGTACTAGTAGACTGGAAAAAAGGACAACTCATCAAGATACCAAAGAAAGGCGATCTTAGCAATTGTGATAACTACAGAGGCATTACTCTACTATCATTTTCAGGAAACCTTGTCACTGAGTTTATCAAGCACTATGTCCAATTTGTGGACAATAAAATTTCTTTCGAAATCACGATTCGATCAATGTTAGACCACCATTAGAAACCTGGAAGCACCGGACGGGCGTTTCGTCCTGGTATAGCACTCATCAGCAGTGCACATCCACGAATCCTGCACCATATCAGGACGAAACGGCCGTCTTGCAGTGCTTCCAAGTTTCTAATGGCGGTCTAACATTGATCAATTCATAATTTCAAATGTTGTAACTTACCAATCTTCACCATCCCGTTATGTAATAAAGTTTCTGTTGCATATAATTTACATAATGTATCTTTTTTTTATAAAAATTTTTTTGTTTATTTGTACTGCATGTAAATTGAATTATGTAATAGATAAACTTTGATTATTCACTACTATTCAGGAACTCACTAGGTCCCCACGTTTTGTTGCAGATGGAGTTAGTCGCTTTGATATTAAACAGGGTGAACTTGGTAAGTTTTATATTTTCCATAAATGAATGAATACCTTGTATAATAAAATGTTTGCTTTTGAATAATTTCTAAAGAAAAGAATTACCAATAAACTAAAGAGATATTTCTTTTCCATCTACTCATCATCATAGATGTATACCAATATCTCTAAACCTCAAAATTGATAATTGAATAATTTGCATTACGGGGTTGTGAAGATTGTTAAGTGAATTGATCAAGTTAGACATTAACACCGTTAGATACCAGCTCAGTGGTCCGATGGTAAGGCGTTCGCCCACAATACCGAAGGTCCTGGGTTCGAATCCTGCGAGGTGCAGGAGTCGTGAATGCGCATAGTTGATGAGTCCTATACCAGGACGAAACGGCCGTCCAGTGCTTTCAGGTTTCTAATGGTGGTCTAACAGTGATCGATTCATGGTTTCAAGAAATGTGTAATTGAATAATTACCAATCAATCGATTAAACATGTAATACTGTTGTGGATCAATCAGATATTGGTCGAATGAAAAGTCCATAGTTTTGGCCAAGATTTGACTTCTTTTTCCAATGAATGAGACGCACCATTAGTTAAAGTATTGTATCGAAACTGGGCACGGCAAAACACAGCACATTGATTTGTGCATTAACTGTTCACTCCACAAAACACTGTATGTAGGTTTTTGACTCATTGTACGCAACTTAGGTCCGAAAATAAGGAAAGAATTACGAAGGTTATATTATCTCATCTCAAAGGTTACACAAACCTTGTCTAAAAATGGACAGTTTAGTTATGCTTCAGAAGATCTTCACATTTTCACTGTGTGTAAAAGATTAACTTTCAAAGCGTTAAATACACTAGATAAATTTCGATTAGTAAATTAAAAAACCATTTAGACATGAAACTAATATTCAGTGTTAAGTATAAATGTAGGCTTGTAGTCTGTCAACTCATTCACGAGGAGTGTGAATTTTAAAACCACATTGGTGAGATTTTGATTGTTGTATACCTACTAAAACTAACAATGTAGAAGGAGTTCAACTAGTGAATTGGTTAGTTAAAGATGGAGAAATTGTTAGGATATTCATAAAATATTTCAAAAATTATTTTGTAAGTCTAATAATTCCATCATTGGGCGAGAAATCGTATGTTTTCACATGTTTCTAGACTTTTCACAGATGTCACGTGATAGTTTCCTATTGGTCAATATTTACGGTCGTCCTAACTGTATAAATATGCAGTCTATAAAGTCTCATTATTATTCTTCTTCTTCTGTACTCGGATCCCATAAACAACTTTCATCTAGCGGTGTTGTGTTCTGATATGTTGGAGATTTGGGGAGCAATATTTGGGGTCGTACTGGAATATCTAAGTTTGGTCAACCGTTAGAATTTCGAATCGTCACATCGCGCATCATAATAGAAATATCAGCTCACTATTATGAGTAAAATTATATTTCTAACAAAACCTTGAACAAAGCGAGTTAAATAGTTTCAATATTTCCCTAAAGAAGCTCTAATCAGTTTTCAATTAGAGTTATGGAGATTAGTGTTTTTACACATTTGAAATCATCAACCAATCATTGTTAGACCACCATTAGAAACTCGGAAGCACTGGACGGCCGTTTCGTCCTGATATGGGACTCATCAGCAGTGTGCATGCACGATCCCTGCACCTCGCAGGATTCGAACCCGGGAACTGCGGTATTGTGCGCGAACACCTAATCATTGGACCACTGGACCGGCATCCAACGGTGTTAATGTCTAACTCTGATTGATCTAGGGATTTCGCGTCACCTCATCCAGTTGTGTTCGGTAGTTACTGCCTACACCTGACAGGGTTGAACTCCATTGGTCACGTCTTCTCAACTAGAACTCCGAGAATGTCCTCACGACGCTAGTCACCAGTGAGCACGTTTTACGATATTTTCAATCAGAGTTATGGAGATTAGTGTTAGAGTTAAACAATAACGTCGTTGGATGCCGGCTTAGTGGTCCAATGGTTAGGCGTCCGCGCACAATACTGAGGGTCCCGGGTTCGAATCCTGCGAGGTGCAGGAATCGTGGATGCACACCGCTGATGAGTCCCATATCAGGACGAAACGACCGTCCAGTGCTTCCGAGTTTCTAATGGTGGTTTAACAATGATTGTTTGGTGATTTCAAATGTGTAAAAACTCCAATCAGTTTATCAAGCAAATCGTCCGGACTATGATTTCAGTTGCTGAAAATCTCACAGATCTAGTGTTATCTTTCATTTCTTCTTATATCCTTAGCATTTAAGCTGTATGAAACTGTACCGTTAGATTTTGACTGCGTCCAATGTTTTTTTTTCTTAAACTTACTATTGTGTTTAATCAATAAAATATCACCTCTGAACTCTTTTCATATAAGAAATAGTTCTTTTAACACTGTCAGTCAATCGTCATTCATTGGTCCGTTTAAATTTTTTTTTAAATGATAGAGAACATTAGTAATAATAATAATACTCATTGTACGATATCAGTTTGTGTTATTGTTTCATCTTTTTTTAGGAAACTGTTGGGTCATAGCGGCATTGGCTTCATTATCAATGTATCCAGAATTATTTAATCAAGTAAATAAAGATAACAGTTCGCAGCTTCTAGTTCTTGATGAATTATTATAAAGAGAAAGTTTGACAATGCATCATGCTTCCACCATCTTCTAGTTACGGTAGAGCGTATGTTATATTTTGAAACGATTGTTTGGAAGGATATATGAAGAGTTAGTCGAAAGTTCGGGGGTAGAACACAACGATGTGGAAACCCTTTGCAGGTTAGCAGTCGAAATGGAGAACTATTCGATAGCATTATGATAAATGGACTCTTCGGTGAACTTCAAAGACTGCCTTGAAGTTTACAAATGAAACAATTGTCAGGTTGGCAAGAAATGGTCGGCAACCAATATTTGTCTAGTTAACAGAATATATGTCGCCTAGTGCAGCAGTATTACTCAGTGGATTTGGGCAAATTGCGACAAGTAGTAAATGAAATATAAACAAGACAGCTTTTTCCATACACAGGAGCTGTCATTTGAAAAAAAAACGGATGTCAAGCTAACATGTGTGATATGCAAAGGAAATCACATTATTGTTAACGACAGGTGGTGAAAGGCGAAATAAAAAGGTCTTTGTTTTTCATGCTTTGAAAGGAGCTACAGATCAGTCAGTCAGTCAGTCAATCACAACGTAAAACTTCGTGCGTACGTACATAAGTTCAGGTTGCCATACCACATTAGCTCAGAGACGCAATTATCAGTTCAAATCTCATTGTGATAGAAATCGTAGAAGTATTAGCGTTAATGAAGAAGATTAGGGTTTGAAGATTTTTTTCAGGAAGTATAATTCAGTGAGATAAATTTACAGATCAGAGGACTGTTAGGCTCTTGTCGTATGTAGACATCATCTTTATGGATCTGCGCAGTGAATTGCGTTTATTGCCTGGCACAATTTTCCCAAATCTACCGAGTAATATTGCCGCACTAGATGTAGGTTCCCGACCATTTCTTGTCAACCTTCCAATTATTTCAGTCCATTCCATGTTTAATCCGGAAGGCTGTCTTTGTACTATACTTTCTAGAGTATTTAAAGATTTGAGCTCCACCGAATAGTCCATTTATCATAACGCTATCAAACAGTTCTCCATTTTGATTACTAAACCGAACAGAGTTTCTGCATCGAACTCTTCTAACAAGATTCGGCTAATTTCATGTGACTTTCCAAACAACCGTTCCATTAATTTTATTTTTCAATCCTTTTTCATGATGTAAATAACTTATTTAGACTTTTAAATTTTATTTTACCAAACGATTGGTGAGAGATGCACTTAATGAAGCAGATTCTAATTTACATAACCATAGTTAACTTACTCAAAAAGAAATAATTTTAATAGTTATTCAGTATCATTTTATTCAATGTAATTCAATTGCTTATTTTACATTTTGTACGTACATATCAACTGAACTAGTGAGAAATGGATACATGACATTTCCTAGTCATTGGATAATATTTAGGGTTTATTAAACAGTATAAAATACCTTATTTACTTACTTACTTACTTATGCCTGTTACCCCAAATGGAGCATATGCCGCCGACCAGTTTTCTCCGACAAAATCTGTCCTGGGCTTCCTTTTCCAGTTCTGTCCAATTTTTGTTCATTCTTCTCATGTCTTTCTCTATTTCTCGGCGTAATGTGTTCCTTGGCCCTCTTGTTTTCCTTTTGGCTTGAGGGTTCCATGTGAGGGCTTGTCTCGTGATGCAGTTAGGTGCTTTTCTTAGTGTGTGTCCTATCCACTTCCACCGCTTCCTGATTTCCTCCTCCACTGGAGTCTGGTTTGTTCTCTCTCACAGTACGTCGTTGTTGATGGTGTCTGGCCGACGAATACGAAGTATTTTGTGTAGACAACTGTTAATAAACACTTGTATCTTCTGGATGATGCCTTTCGTAGTTCTCCATGTTTCCGCTCCATACAGTAGAACTGTCTTGACATTTGTATTTAAAATTCTGATTTTGGTGTTGACTGATATTTGTTTGGAGTTCCAGATATTTTTCAACTGTAGAAATGCAGCCTTTGCTTTGCCGATCCGCGTCCTCACATCTGCATCGGATCCACCTTGATTGTCGATGATGCTTCCCAGATATGTAAAGGTGTTAACGTCCTCCAAGGCATCTCCATCAAGAGTGATTTGGTTGGTGCATGTTGTGTTGCATCAGAGAAGTTTGCTTTTACGTTTATGTATGTTGAGACCTACTGCTGCAGATGCTGCTGCTACACTGGATAAAATACCTTAGGGCTTTATTATTCGAAACACGAAGTATTTCAGCAAGTTTCTTTTACAAAAGCATTAGTGATTAGCATTTGGAAGTAAGCAGTTCAAGAATCGGTATCCTATTAACGTTCATTTCTTTCTCAGCGGATTGCAAGCCACCACGATGTCTCGGATTATACTTTCTTGTATCTTATGAAGTGAAAGCATGCAAACTTTTCGTTGCGGTTGATAGACATAATTGACGTGTTAAAATAAACAATATAGGTAACTTGTTGAAATATTTCTATGTTCAAAAACAGGGACCCCAATTATTCTAACATAACTTTAAAGAATTCTAAATTAACTAAACTCTCTTATCTATCTATAAATTATTCAATTGATATTGTCCAACTAAATCTGGCTTCAGATTACACCAATAAAACTGAGTAGGAATGAAATTTGAGAATCGTATAAGCTTACTACACTTCTCATGTCATTCTGACTGATGACTTATTTCTATTTGAAACTGTCAAGCTACTTCAACATGCATCTGCACGTACAGTCGCATGTTAATTATAACTTCAAAAAAAAATCTGTGTTTCAATCTTTCAATTGATATAAATGTTGATTGAAACTGTATTGATTATCCTTTCTTACCTAATATTGGTTGTAGGAAAGAACAATCTTAATGTGACTAGTTATTAATATTATTAACCTTATTATGTAGTG